CACATCTGGAGTTTGGAAATGTGTTATTATTATTATTATTCCCATGTTCAACTACTTACAGGAAGCAGTGACTTAAACACAAAATCAAGGCTAATAAATTTAGTCTTGGCACAAAACAGTTTTCACCAGCTAAATGTGAAAGAGTGATGTTTTATCCCCTCACTTCTTACAAGATTAATGGTTATGTCTTCAGAACCCGACACACCTTTTCATGCAGGATTCAGATTCAGTGATCTCGAGTTCATGATGAAGCTGTTTGAGTCACACATGTGTATCATGTTCTTGCATCGTGTTTAAGCTAAATTTTTAAAGCAAACTGCAAAATTATCATGGTAAACAGTTCACAGTGTTGACACTGAACACTGACGATCAAGCCTCGTTTTTAGAGAGCAAAATGTTCTTAAAATCTCAGAATTGGTTGTTTTAGATATGAAAGAGGAGATTGTGTCACTATGTGCAAGGTTAAGGACCCAGATACTGGACTCAAAGGCAAGAAAGTGAAGCAAACAGAAAACAACCTTTATTTCAGTCACTGAGAATCCAAAAGTATACACGTTATAAAAATAATCCAGAACAGACCAACGATGTCATGAAATAAAACACAAAGGCTGCACTCGAGGGAAGGAAAACAGAGGGGTGAAGTATGAAGCGAGCTCAAGTGGATCTCTCATATCAGCTGGTTTGGAGAGCTTTGGTTTAAAATCAGCTGGAGGAGCCACTCTTGATGATAAATGCATTAAAAAAAGAATAAAAAAATCCCAAATACTTAAACATGTATCCAGTCCAACAGCTGAACAATGTTCACTGTTTACTGTTTCCATGTCCATCCCTTTATGACCACAGTGTACACATCTTCTGATGGCTACTTCCTGCAGTATAATGAACCATATCTCACAACTCAAGCTGGTGTCCTGAACATGACAGTGAGATGACTGCATGTAAATGACCTCCAGAGTCACCAGATTTCAGTCCCATCAACCACGGTGGGATGTGGTGGACAAATCTGCACCGGATCTCGGCTGCTCCTTCTTCTCATTGAATGATGTTTGGTTTCTTTTGTGTAACAGTAATAAACATGCAAAGTGCATCATAATGAGTTTGACACTGTGGCTGATGATGTGGTTGTTTGGGGGCTGACGGTCGTCTTATGCTGACTTTCCTTCTGCCTCCTGTGAAGACAACAAATCACAGATGTGAGACCTTGAAGCTCCAGTGATAGTGAACAGATTCATAACTCATAACACTCAAGCAGTGATTTCTCTCTTAACTTCTTCACCTTCTAAATTATGAGAATGACGATTCTGAATTTTACTAGCAAAAACACGATAAAGCCGTTTAATTATTGTAGCTTGTTAATTGTTTATCCATCAGATTTGTCCTGTGACCCAGACGCAGTTTTCATCCTGAGCTTTGAACTATTACTCTAAAACCATCAGTATTTTTAATCACTGATGTGCAGAGCCTCGCACGATGCTCCAAAGTGACTGTTGATGTTCCTGTTTTAACTTCACTGACTTCCT